GTACCTCTGCTCCGAGTGCGCCCGAGCGCGAGTGTGTGCGGGTGTGCGGGAGGGGACGCCGGCGAGACTCTTTTGTTTCCGCTTTTGCTTCTGGGAAGGAGCCTGCGCCCTCTCCGCCGCGCCCGCCCCGCCTGGCACACTGGGAAGTGTAGTTCGGCCGACCCGGCTGCCCGCACGCCGTCGAGTTAGTCTCTGCTGACCTCGCCTGCGGGGCTGGGGTCAGACTTGCAGGCCCTGGAGTTGATTTCTGCAGTTTGTTACTGAAGTAGGCTGTGCGTCGGCACAATGGGGATGACAGGTGAGCTCCTGACGCGTTCAAAGCCATTTCTAAATTTTCAGTTACTCTTTATCCAATAGGAACTACAGTTTCTCTTGGTTTTTTACTTTTACAGATTTCATCATCTTAAATACGTAATTACTTTCTCACCCTTCCGCACATGCATGGATTCGTGCCGATTTTGACTCCTTAGTTCTTATTTCAGAGGGGAGAAAGCACCTTTCCTATGCAGTGCCTCATCTGCTCCCTAGCTCTGAATCCTGAGTTTCGCTCTCACCAGCTCCTTTCCTTTGACAATAGTCTGAGCGTGCTTCCCACTCCCTGGATTCTGTGAATCTGTGTACTCATTAAAAGGTAGCTGCTGCCTTCAACACCAGCAGAAGCAGATCTCACTAAGGTCACGCTTGAGATTCTGTTCTTAATTCAACTGTTTTTGAACTATTGGGCAGGAGGGCATTTTGTGTTTCAAAATACCCACCGCGTCTGAAATCAGATGCTCCATCCTTCGCACCATGCACTGTGGAAGTTGGACCTTCCACTTCTCTGACTCTTGCTTCTCCTCGATAGCTCTTTTCAAACATGAGAATGTCCCTGAGTTCCAAGCCTTGACCTCTAGGACAAAGACGTTGTGCTTTGCTGAGCCTAACCCACAAGTGGGAGGCAGCCTAGCAGGTCCATAGAGCTGGGTTTTCTAGACCTCACCGAGTTCTGCTTTCTGCTCATCTGACCATCTTCCCCTTCCTTTTTCCAGTTCCCCTTTAGCTTCTCTTATACATGACTTGGCCTTGTCCACTCTATGATGCCCTTCCAGCAACTGCTCCCGTTTTGTACTGTATCTGGTCTCTCCAAAGAAAATAATCTCATTGGTGTACTTCATCTTTTTAATGTAGACTAGAAATCGTTGGCTAATGAATAAAACCATGACTACTCTTAGGCTAGATTACCATCCATGGTCCGGTTGGCTACGGAAAGTTTGGTTTTTGTTTTGTTTAGTTTTTTGTGGTGCTTGGGATGGAACCCAGGACCCTTATGAATGTGAAGCACAAACTTTACTACCAGGCTGCATCCACATTCCAGCTGTGGAAAGTTGGAAAGTACTTTTAGACCAGGGGGTTTCTGGAATACACCAGCAAAGACTTCCCATCTACAAGGAGGTGTTATTTGGGCCAGCCGGAAGCACTATCACCATGGTCTTCCTTTTTAAAAGGCAAACAGAAGTGTCTTCATAAGTGAAATAGAGGACAAGCAGTACCGTCTTGGGCCCCAGAGATTCATGGCCATACTGGTAACATCAGAGTATCATGTCAGCAGTTCAGCGCTGCTGCTCACTGCTATGCTATGGAAAAGGAGTAGTTCTAGGTAATTCACTAGCGGGCAATTCATGAAAACCTCCAGGCTGACAATCCTGATCATTATGCTATAAGTAGCAAAAAAACCACAAAAAACCCCAAAACAAAAACAAAACACACACACACACACACACACACACACACACACAC